CGTTGGAGCAGCTGATGTTTGCGATGGGAGACAGATTGGCATAACATTTGATTCTTTGATTGATGATGAATGCTGAGGTAAAGCGCAGTTTAATAATTATTTATTTATATATATGACTTTGTTTATTATCATTTATTTATCCGATTATGTTTTCTGAGGATGGTGTATAAAGAATTGGAATAATGTTGGTGATGTTCGATGTTTGGTTACCTGGGTATGAAGATGAGTGAAAATGATTAAATGAGGCGAAGAATTGAGCGAAGGATAATAGTACCCGGTTCAAGAGGAAGCAACGGAATGTGGCACACAAATTTTACTTTAAACGGCTTTTAAATTTTATTTTAAACCGGCTCTAGTCCATCAACAAGTTGGTCGTGAATGCGATATATTGAACCTACTTTCTTTAAGAAAGCATTGTAAGCAGCGGACAGTTTTTTTGCATCTATTCATTTTACAAACTTCTATGTTGTAAGTCTTTTAATTATACGAAACAAGCGCAAATAAAATAAAGCTAATATACACCATAAATTTGTTGATTTTAAACTCGTGAATATAGATCATTTTACAATTGTAGATGTATGAACGCCTTAATTAAAAAAAAGACCAATGAATTTGGTGTTTTACAGTTTGCCTGCAATAAAATTATAAATATGCCAAACAACAAATTTGCATTGGGCTGCTTCCCTAATAAATAAATGCACATAAGTATTTTGACATGCTACATCAGCAAACTGCGCTTATGTCTAGGGGGAGTGGTTCACAAAAAATATTTGGCATTTTGGGTGGATTTCAAATTTTAGATGAAAAAATGTGACAATTTTTTATTATTTGGATTCGCATAGTTTGTGTTTGATTCAAATTTTTGGAAATATTATATTCTAAAATTGTAAAAAAGCAACTTATTTTTAGATTTGCAAAATCCTATCAAATGGAGAGATTTGGGGTGTTTTATTATTCTGACACGCGCCACTCCCACGTCAGATCCCAGCTTCTCGCCTGTTACTTATTTCCCGCTGCTTTATTTGGGTGGCATTTTCTAAGCCTCAGTACCAAATTTGTCTTTGATTTTTTTTATATTGTCTCGCGGTTAGTTTTTAGAGTTTTGGGAAATTGGCTTAGAATAAAATTTCATTTCAGCTTCAATACCATTTTGCAAGTAATAGGCATAAAATAATAGAAATACAGAAAAAAGTAATTAAAAAAGTGCAGCGACATTTTTCAATTAGAATTTAAAACATTTTGCAACTTTTAATTTCTGACTTTCCATTTCCTGATTTTGAGTTTTTTTCCTATCTTCACAATACTTCATGCTGCTTTGTCGAATACTGTTTGTGGCTAATTACGATCATCATGAGTCGCGATGAAATAAATTAACATTCTTCCTTGGATACTTAGCACAACCCTATCAGTAACGGCCAGTATTGTTTGCCATTTTCGGCAATGCTTCAAAGGTGTCAGGATTTTAACAAGAGTTGTAAGCAGTTTGCCAT